ACTTTGTGGCCCTTGGAGTGCAGATTTCGTGGCAGGCGCAGGACTTTGTAGGACTTTGTGGATGTGGAAGTGCAGAGTTGGTGGCAGGTGCAGGACTTTGTGGGCCTTGGAGTGCAGATTTCGAGGCACGCGCAAGACTTTGTGGACCTTGAAGTGCAGATTTCGTGGCAGGTGTAGTGCTTTGTGGATGTGGAACTGCAGATAGACAGATAGATAGATAGCCCCCAGCAGCACACCAGATCCAAAGGTGAGCAGCCACCAAAGGATAAAGGAATCGTCTGGATGAAAACAAGACGGTCTTACATCTGGTAGCTGTGCCTCGGACTTCACATTCCTCCAAAGATGGATTAATAGCAAGCAGCCAGAAGCCACGAAACCCAGAAGCCACAGAAGCCAAGACAGCCAAAAGCCACAGAGCCCAGCAAGAGGAGGACAAGGCCTGGACACAGAGCCCAGCCACAGAGTTCAGGGGCGCGGCCAAGAGGAGGACAAGGCCTGGACACAGAGCCCAGCCACAGAGTTCAGGGGAAGAGGAGGAGACAAGCCCACCCACAGAGTTCAGGGGCGCGGCCAGTGCGTGTGGCCAGCTGTTTTTTTCTAAGATAGAAAGAACCCCAACAGTAAACTGTTTGGGGAAAAAGAAGAAAAAGAAGGAGTCGAAAAAGAGGAAGTTGGTGAATGGAGTGATCGTGTCGTCGGACGGAAGCGATTCAATTTCAGACAAGAGTTCAGAGAGCTTGAAGACAGCCTTGGAGGACGAGTTCGAGGCCCCCCTGCGGAAGCGGTCGAAGGCGAATCCAGGGTCAGTTTTGCGGATCTTGGTGCAAAGGGCTCAGGAAGCTCTAAATCAAGGAGCGCTGGTGGAGGCAGGTCCCGGCGCCACCTCATGAGCATTTGCCTCATGAAGAGCATCCCCATCAAGGCCATCATCAAAGGTGCGTCCCCCACGTATCGTCGTCGTTCGTCCCTCTTCAATCCCTCTCTACTTTCACCCCACACCTGTTTCGGCTTTCCGAGCCATGGCGTGGACAGCTACGTGCATCACAGACACTGGAATTGCAGCGAACCATCTATAGTCTTGGTGGGGATGAAACTTTCGAGTCCACTCTGCTTCGTATTTCCACTAGCACGGAGGATTTCATTTTGATTTTGGTGTATGTGGATGATCTTTTGATCGCGAGCAGAGATCCCGAGAGTGGGGAAGCCTTCCTCAAGAAGTTCCCGGATATTTGGAAGATTAAGAGGACAGGCCAGATCCCAGCCAAGAAAAAGGGTTTGTTGGAGTTTCTTGGAAGAACCATTTATCGACTTCATGATGCCTAAGTTGGAAGAGTTGTTGAAGGATGCTGAAAAGAAGTTTGGCACACCCGAGTTGTACAAGTGAACATGGGGCTTGTGGCTAGCAGATGTCACGCGCTTGAAAAGCCAGTGGAATTTGGAAGCGCTAGCCCGCCATTGGATGGCCGCGCGTAAGACTCCCAAGAAGAAGTCCAGCAAGAAACCTTTCCTCTCCGCTACCAGAATCGAATGACCATGAGCCTGAGAAGGAGATGGGAAGGGATAAAGCCGAGATAAGCCGAGCTCCGCAACAACTTTGTCCATTGCTTGCTGGATGACGGAAGTGGAAGAGTGTTAAACGTTTCAAGCAGAAATATAAGCTTGTTGACTACAAACTCCATGGTTGTCAAGTTGGGGTGACGGATGAACATGGGACACCAATTAAAAGGGTTGGACAATTTCATCCGACGTTGAGGCGTTTGCTGCTCTCGAACAGCTTAGGTGTGATGGACAACATGAACATGCACAGTCTAGGGGCAAAGCGACTTGCAGAAGGCAAGATGTGATGACGACTCATGTGCCTAGCAGTCCATTTCCGACAATTTTGCTCACAAAACTCGAATGATGTTGCCGAATGCTGTTCACTCAGTAGGGTAGGTACTGACAATGAAGACACTAACGCATTGGCTCCAGGAGCGCAACTCGGTCCGTTTGCCTTTGAGAGCTGCCTGACATCAACGTCCGTCACCTTTGCCATGGCCAGCGATCACAAGTCTGTTGTAGTTTGCTTGGCATGACCATTGTTGACGCGGTTGTCCCTCATTGTTGCTCCTTGCAGGCTTGATGGCTACG